GCTGACACCCAATGACACCTACTGACACCTCAACCCTTGCCCTAACTCACTTGTCTCATCCGTGTTGAGGATGCGTTCCGGCGGGAGCTTGGTCTCCTCCAGGTACTCCGCCCATGCTTTGTAGAAAGCTTGAAGGCGAGGCTCGCCGTCTTCGTTAATCCGGTTTGCTTCGTAGATGTGGGTGGCTCGCTCCGACAAACCCGGGTGTCTCGCCATAAACCCCTCAAGCCAGCTGTCCCCAGGGCCCTTGTCTGGGTCCCAGGGCACCTTGCGCCCGTCGGTGCAGATGTTGCGCACAGCGTCTCTCAGCTCCCTCCGACCCAACAGCAAGAAGTGTCGGGAGGCGTAGATCAAGACGTCTTCTACGAAATCTTCCTCCTCCTTGCTCAGGACAGTCCCGGGACCAACCCTCGCATCTATGGCCACCTTGTTCTTCACACGGTCGTGCAGCGAGGCTAGCGGTAACCCGTAGGTCCTCGCAGCAACGCGGAGCGACATCTCACCGCTGCGTACCGCATCTACAGCCTTCTGGGCCTGCTCTGGGTCTACTCTCTTACGTCCCATGCTTAGCAGCAGGACCCCGAAAAGGGCAAAGATGCCCCACATAAGGGGTGTGGGTGAGGGCTGTGCTGTATCTCGGGAGTGCTTGACCCGATCGACACGCGGAGGTGCTCAAACGAAAGCTAACGGAAAGCTGAAGATTTCAAAAAAAAAATTGGGGGGCTCCGCGCATTGTGCGCCGAGGGACGTGCATTTGAAAAAAGTGTTCGTTAAAGGGGGGGTGTTCGTTAATACCCTGGTTTACTCTATGCATGTTGTGCATAATATATATGGAACACCATCATGTGGTTACGTGGTAAACTGCCTCGACATGCTACTGCTGTCGTCACGAGTCGGTGTGCACTCGTCGTGGTGGTGGTTCGTGTATTTACGTTTGTGTGTTTTTGCTGTGGTCTATGCGCGTCTTTTCATTCTGTATGCGCGCCCGTTGGTTTTGTTGTCGGTTGTGTGTCACGCATTTATTTGTGGCGTTTGCCGTTTGTGCGCTGCTTGCCGGGCTTGCCGCGAGCATCTTCCCCTGCCGGTACCGAAGGGGCCTGGCATGTGTCTGACATGTTCCTCCGCGGTCGGTCCGCAGTCGGCAGCCATGGATACGAAAGATGCCATGGATTCGGTGTTGGGAGGTTCTGAGACGTTCCGAGCTATTCGGTGTTCTCTCGTTCTCGTGCGGTGACGCGGAGGTCGATTTCCGCTCGATTTCCGCCGTCCGTAATTGGACGCAAGTGGGTACAATTTGGACAAAAGTGGGTCGAAATATAGACAAAAGTGGGTACATGAAAAAATTAGTTGACGCCGATGGGTATACCCACCGCGATGTCGGACAAAAGTGGGTACTCTGTTGAGGCCCTGCGCGCCTCGGCGATATGAGGGCCACAGGTGTGCCTGAAAGTGGGAAAATTCGATGCCCGTGCTGTGTATGGCCCCTGGCTGTGTCGCGCAGTTGTCGAATGGGGTTTTTGAGTCGTTTGGGGGCCGCCTATGGAGTGTGCGCGCGCGCTGGATTTTCGAGTAGACTACCCACTTTTGCCCGAGAATGGGGTGGGTTTACCCACTTTTTTCTATTTCCCAAAATATTAGGTGGAACATCAGGCAGGTTGGTATCGCCCATCAGCGCCATCACCGTCTTTTTGCTGACCATCGTTTCCCACTTGCTCTCGAGACTGACAATGCACCTGTTGCGTGGACCATGGTCACAAGGGTCTGTGGCAAGACTTGATTTGAGGTGTCTTGCTCAGGGCCCCCTTCATCCATCAGTCACATCGGCTGGCATTTGAAAATAGGACCTTGATCCATTTGATTGTGAGTAGACTAGAGGCACACATGCAAGGGATACAAAAAAACAGTGACGTGCCCTCGAAGAAGGGATGGGGTAATGGCGCTGCTTGCGGGTTTCGGCGTATTTCTCACGGGACACGGCATCCATCCCCTGCGGTACTAATTAAACCTGCAATTCTCAAACCTTGACTTCTCCGCCAACAATAACATAACAATGGAAGCGCCGAAACGGCCGAATTGAAGCCGCCTTCGTCGAGAGCTTTCCGAAAACGTATCGTTTGGTTTGTGCATCCTCTTCGTCTTGGACTAGTCGAGCTTTGAAAGAGCTTTGAAAATCGGTCCGGGGGGGTGTGGTATCTTGTGTCCCCTGCGGCAGACACAAGGTATGTGGCTGTGGCTCTGGTTGTTGACCCTCCGCCGAGACCAAGCGATGGAAAAAGGGGTGAAGATCTCGCCCGCCCTGTAACGCCGTCAAGAAGGGATTGATTCTCTTTCTCCTCGACCTGAATGGGTACCCTAACACAACGAACAGCGGTACTCTTCTCAGCACGAGCAGTAGCAACACTGGCCTTCGATTCGTGAAGAAAAAAAATTAGAAGCAGTGCTACAAAGCAGTTCAATTTTGGTTGACTCGATACTGAAAATCCAACACTGCTGTGATTTTGTGTTGCCGCCGCAAACTTCGGATCTGATTCCCGTCTATCCCTTTTCGCCGTTTAGATTCCTTGCAAAGCAAATCGAAAATCCCCAGCAACGCTTTCCAGAAGAATACAACGCGGAGACTATATCCTGGTCTTGTATCGCTCGATGACCATCATGGCGTCTCCAAAACTCCTTCTCTCGCCGACACGAAAGTCCTGGAGCATCTCCTTCCCAACGAGACCTAAGCGATGGGACACGTTCAGCAGCAGCCTCAACGTTGATTTCGCTCCAACCTCTCCCCCACCGCCGCCCCTCCAGCGTGCGTCAACGAAAACATGACCTATTGTATGCTACTTACTTTGTCTCCAAGAGTACAATACCAAGATTCCAAATGAACGGACCGCCATCGCGAGAAGTTCAGGTTGCGAGGAAAGTAAAACAGGGAGGGGGTACGCAGACCCGATCTATGTCCCTAACCCCAACCCGAACCCAACTTCTTTGATTGGGTTCTGTATCCAACGTCTTACTAGAAAAACCCTGCAAAAGCTACGGCCGGGGACCGAGGGTACAATACACAAGACGCCGGAAGGCAGTTCCTTTGCGTTCGCCGGACGAAGACTACTCCTGTGATGATGATAATACACAAAGAGAGAAACTATAATCGAGGTTGCTCGAAATAAAAAAAAAATCTTCGGCTTTTGGACTACGAACAGTTTTAGCAATTCCGTTCCCCACGGGAAAAAAAAAAATCTAGAATTTTGGAGATGGTGGAGCGCTCATGCTGATGCTCAGCATAGCAAGCCCGCGAGGCACGAATCAATCTCTCCACGAATGCATATCCCGGTGCAACAACACGCCAGGATTATCCCGACGAGTATTTCACGAGTCCCAGGAGCACAGTAACGACAGATGAGTCAGTCTTCCTCGCTTGACGATGACGATGAGATTAGCCCGTCTAATCCAGTTGCCACTTCCTCTTCGTCATCGTTCATCACCAAAGCGTGACGAACCTGGTTCCGACGGAAGGGGTATTCAGCCACATGGGGGG